TTTTTTTTTTTTTTTCAGTTTAACCAAAGCCCTGGCAAGACTGTTTAAACACTTGCTGGTGTGTCATGTATCTATCTGAGGAACACAAAAATCGTCATGCTCTTTTATATCACACAGACATGACTGTATTGTGTTACACAATAAGGGCCTCTGCTCTGCGGCAAAGGGAGTATGAAAATGACTAAAACATTTCAAATCTATGATGACCACAAGGGCCAGTCTAAGCAACACAGGAAATGCATCACTTCTCCAAAGCAGGACAGGCCAGACCGAGAACATTTTCACAAACACAATGAAGAACTTCTCCACAAACATACTATAATTAGAAGACAATTAATTAAGAAAAGCAAATATCAGACTGACTGACAGGTGATCCTCCAACAAAACATGCTTGTTGAAACACTTTGGAGTACCTTGTAAAGACCATAAACATGGTGATCATTCAGTATCACAGTATTCCCATCACTATACCAGGGTATAAAGACAGAAAAGCACATGAAGATGACAGCTGTTTCACAGCTTCAGTAGGATGTGATTCTCATTGCTGGCATGTAGAGGCATATTAGGTTTGCATCAGTCCACTTTAAAAGTGGTTGCAGACACATACAAAGGAACATCCCTGCAAATAAGATTTTATTCAGTGCTGAAAAGAAAGGAAAAACTTGCATTGAGATAGTATGGATGTGGATACCTGTGAGACGATGTATCTTTTCAGACATTCTTCACAAACTGCATTTTTGCAGCAGTGTAGTGGTATGGCTTGTTTGTCATCAAGACAAATTCGACATGTTAACAGAACAGATAAACTGTTGTCATCATTATAGGAGCCGTTTATTCCAGACAGCATCAAGTCGGAGACTGTATAGGGCTCTGGATAGTGCTCATAGTCCAATTCTGAATTTGGCAAGTCGGTGGGAGGTAAAACCAGCACATCTGCTGATGATGATGACAATGATGTAGTTTCATGATCAGATGTTGTTTTCTCAACAGGTATCCTATAATTATCATTGGCAATACAGTATACAGTGCAGTAAACATGCTCTTTTGATTGGCTGGGATCTTCACCACTCTTCAAATCAATATAATCAATATGATGATTCCCATCAGTATCTCCCAATCCCGAGTTACTCTCCATGTTTTGTTGGAGACTTTTTGTGTTCCATTGCATCCTTTCATCATCCTTTTCATGATCCAAGTCGTTCAATTTGATGTCAAATTCTACTTTCTCTAGGTCTGTGGGATCTTCTGGATCTCTGATAGTGGAACCAAAATTCCTTTTTAAAATATCCACGGCTCTGATGTTTTCCCTCTCGTCATTTTCTTTATTATTGCCTCCTGGCTCATGTTTGTGTTTATGAAA